TTTAAACATATTTGATCGCGCGGAATGAAAAATTTCGAGATAAATGATTTTTTTCTTGAATTTCCATGAAATTTGTCGCAAAGTTTATGGCTGAAAGGGTGCCTTATGATAAGTAGCTTCTACTATTTAGGATTAAACAATATCGCACTAGATACTCCGTGGTCATGGGACGAGTCGGCCGGCCGGTCGAGTGGCGGTAGTCTGGCGATTTGGAACACGGCCTCGTACGGTCACCGTCTGTACACCACAGCGTTGTTGAGGAGCCACTCACCTGCAGCCCGTTTACACGGCTCCTGCCTCAGTTCCTGCCTCTTGATCGGCACCTTCGTCTGCACGACATCGCGTACATCCGCGATATCGACTGGCTTTACGATAACGTCTACTCGCTCGCTGTCGATCCCCGTGCCCATTGTCATTATCGTCGTCGTCATCGTCGCCGTCGGTGTCGTTGTCGTTGTTACCGCCGTCGCCGTCGCCGTTGCCGTCGCGTTCGTCATCGCCGCGACGACGGCGAGCCGAGAATCGTGCGCGTCTCCAGGTAGTTCCATGACCGGCAACCCTCGCCCCGAGTCCGCCATCGAGGTGCGCTGCTGCTCCTGGAGTAAGCAGGCGCTCGACAACAAATCCCATTGGCGGAGCTTCTCTCGGTCGAGCTCGAACGACGTCGCGGACATTCGGACGTCCGGGATCGAGCGAGCCGGGGGAAGGTTGCCGTCCTCTAAAAAATGATTCCTGTCCGAAGCGGTGGGCTTGCGGTAGGCCTCGTTCTGTGAGTCCCACACGTAACCACCCGCACCGATCAGTTCCATCGACAAGGTCTCGTAGGTGACGTCGTCGTTGTCATCGTTGTCATCGTTGTCACCGTCACGATCCCCGTCGTCATCATCGAGCGATCGTTCCCGCGTCTGACGATCGTGATCCTTGTTCGTTCTGCGTTTGACTCGCGGTCGCTCGCCGCAAGACGACTCCATCGCGCAGTTATCCCTGCGCAAAGCGACACTGTCGTTTACGTAGGTCGCCCCACGGGTGATCCTGCCGCGAGATTTCGCGTCGCTGGGTCTTCCAGGTCTTGGCGGACTATCTAGATTATCTAAGGATCTGGCGTTTCGCAGGCTCACTCTTCTCAGACTCTCGCACCAGAGACTGTCCTGCTCCCAAGGATCGTTAGAATTGAAATTGCTATCCGTCGCGACGATATGATCGTCGGGAGACGGCAAGTTTTGCGGCATTGTTTCGATCTGGCTGGTTTCTGTCGAAGTCGTCGCTGTCGGCGTCGTCGCCGCTGCTGCCGCTCGGTTAGCTCGGTTTCGTTGCTCCACCAAATTTTGCAGATCGACGTCGTCGAGCAATCCCTCTAGGGATCTTGACCGACGATGAGACGTTTGTGTGATTCGGTGCGTCGATTCGGTATTATCGACGCTGCCTGGATTAACAGATTTGTCTCTGAGACCGTGGGGATACAAGTTCCTTGCCTCGGGCAGAGATACATCGGGCAGCGGATCGGTAGATTTTACACGGCGCAACGTGTCGGCCTCGTAGACATTTCTCTTGTCCACGAGAGCGGCCTTGTTGTCGCCCAACAATTGGCAAGTTGTCCGCCTCAATTCCGCGGCGATGCGTCTAGCCTCGTCTATGTCGTCTACCTGAATTTGCCGTGGCATTTGTCGCGCGATCGGGTTCACTATTCGACCGATATCATTCCGCTTGTTCAGGCCGATCGCCGCGTCATCCCTTTGATTGTTTAGCTGTGGCAGTCGCGAGGTATGACCGATCATCGGTTTGCTCAGCTCCACGTCCACGCTGTTGACACTCGCCTGGAGGTCGGAATAGTAATAGGGCGCCCCCGATTGATCGCTCTGGGCACGCTGCTCGCTGGCACTCGGCAAATACGACTGCTGTAGAACTGTGGAGTTGGCGGTTTGCATCATCGGCATCGTCGGCATCGAGCTGGGATAATGGCTCGAATCCTGGCTGGAAGTCGATCGATGATTCGGCAGCACGTGTCGCACGCACGTGTCGTGACTGGCGGACCTCGAGTGATTCGGGAACCTTTGTTCGGAGTACGCGTTGACGTTCCGCAGCATGCTCGCCAGCGTGGTGTCGCCGTGATTCACCGAGGACATGGACGCGCTGATGGGAGAGTGCATCGACGATTGCGCGCTCGCGGGCCTCTGGCAAGCCATGGACGTCGAGATGGATGCCGCGACCGAAACGTTCGAGTAACTTGAATCCCTGCTGTGAGAGATCGGCAGTGCGCCGATGCTCTGGGACGTGCCGCTCTGCATCCTGTGAACATTGTCGCGTGGCGGCTCGCTGTCGGGTCGGATCGCCGGCGAACCGCGAAGCGGCAAGAAGCTCGCGACGTTCTCGTAATGAGCGTCACCGGTGAAGGACTGCGAGTGCTGGTGAGTCGGTGGTAGATCCGATACCCTCATAGACGGCAAGCTGCTCGCCGAGCCGGTCTTATTTTTGCCGGAATAATCAAACGGCCGGTCGAGATTGCTCGACATTAATTTCATCTTCCTCGATAGATCTTGACACGTGGTCTTTTGTAATTTATCGACCACGAGCATATTCTCGTTGAACCCGTAGATGCTGTTGTAACTCAGATCCTTCGTATAAAGATCCACGTTAAAAGCATCTCTAGCCTGCAACTCCTCCAAATACCGATCGATATCGATACTTGTGCCATCGAAGCGACTTCCCAACGATTCCAACTCGTCCAGACTGTCAAGAACTTCGCAAACATCGTCGCTGACGGGTCTCCTCTTCAATTGTCGATGTCGAGCTTCCTCGTCCGGATTTCTCAGTTCGACCGAATCGCTTCCGGAGGCACTCTCCAGCGATATCCTGCTGTCTCTGAAGGTGGAGCTGATGGTTGCGTCGGAAAACCTTGACGGTGGCCTATGCGTCTCTACTTGACCTACCGGCTTGTTCCAAGATTTCGGAGAGTCACGGTTCAGCGTATTGTCCTTCATCGTAGCCACCTGCGGTGAGACCTTTTTTATCTCTAAGGATTCTTGCATGTCCAGTGAATCCAAGTCATCCAACGGTGGTGGAGAAGTCGGTATCGGCGGTGGGGATACCAACTCACTGTCCGACGAGTCGTGTAATTCCGCAATCATATTGCGGCTAGCTCCTAGATAGTAGGAAGCCGGTCGGAAGGTGTCGGACAGACTGAATCGTGGATGTCGCGGCGCGTCTATGGAGTCTAAATCCTTAGACGACTCGTCGTCGGCATCGGAACTGTCGGACTTGAGCGCCGTCAAGATGTCTGGCAGATCGCCCCTGGAATGCGGCGAATTCTCGTTAACGCCGCTCTTTTTCATCGGGAACGTTTTATTCCCGTCCTCGTCCTCCTTCTCGGACAATTGATTTACCTCCATATATACCGGTTCCATTTTATTATCCGACACGCAGACAAATTCGTAATGGGATGTGTCCAGCGTGGAATAATCGCCGGAATCGTGCTTTCCGCCGTCCTCGTTCGGCGCCAGAAGAGAACGATTCATCCCGTTTTGCGCCATCTCCACGTACGAGCTCTCCTCGTGATCCAAATTCGCGAAAAGACTTTCCATTATTTTCGGATTCGGTCTGTCATCGCTGTTCGGATCTAATATGGCTTTTCTAGGAGACATGGGAAGATAGTGATCCTCATTATTAATATCGTCCTGCTTCGAAGTAACGTTAATCGACTCGTTATCAGCAGAGAATTGATCGCTATGCGTCAACAAAGATTCCGTTATGCTCGTTCTGGCACAGTTAGGACTTGGTATAATACTCATGTCGGTGGATGGCACACATTGTTCACTCAGACTGTCCTTCGAAGTGGTCAACTTGCTTTTCTTCGAAGATTCATCAGTATTTTGCATTTGTACAGCGCCCGTAGCATAGAGAGCGTCCGAAGCAAAACGTTGCATAATAGATTCGTCCTTTTCTATAAGCTTTCCCTTCTCATCGTCTCTATTTCGGTCCAGATTAGTTCCAATATCGTATCGTAACGTTTCGGTATCGTCATAATCTGCGCGATGCTTCATCTCTTGTCGCTTCTCGCACTTCGGTCGGTTAATCTGTTGCGATTTCCGCTCGAAATCCGCTAGAAGATCTTTGACCGACTTGTTGCTATCGGTCGAAGCTTGCTTAGCGTGTCCTTCTTCTACGTTCTTGTGTTTAGACGCGTGGTCCGAAGTGCTTTCACCCAGGGCGAAGCTACGTATAACGGATGAAGTCTTGTTCGCGCAGTCGAGTTTTGAAACGTGAGCCTCGGTTGCCTGCAATGGTGACACCTTCAACGGCTCCTGCATGGTCAATACCTCCTTGACCGGACTCGCACCGTCTATGTTCATCTCGAAAGATCTGATTCTGCATTGTACTAAATTCATAGTCTCGAGCTTCTCGCTCTCATCTTCCACCTTCGACGTCATCGGCACTTTTCTAGGATTAATGTACTGATAAGAAAACTCTTTTATAACCTTGCTCTCGTCGATGCCAGGATCCCACTCGTCATCGTCCTTCGAGTCCCACTGAACGTTCTTCTGAACGTGCCAGGACTCGTTGACTCGGTAGCCGCACATATTGTCCGATCTGCTGCTCTCGATCTTGCCACTTTGATGTCCATCGAATTTCTGCTGATCGGAACCGTAAGCGGTCGACATCTTCAAAATACCTAATGGCTTCTTCGAGGTCTTGTGCCTGGTCGCGGGATCTTCGAAGGCGGCCTCAAGATCCGATTTTCTCGACGACGATTGCCTGTCCGCCGAGGACGACGCGTACGCGTAATCGTTCCTCATCATCGGCGAAAAGCTGACCTCGTCGTAACCTGCGTCCGGCGGTATTCCACCCACGGAGGAGAGCGCGCTCCCCGGGTTCGCTTTGCGAGCGTTTAGAGTTTGCGACTGCGAGGTCTGATTAATGCTCGTGCGGCCGCCGGTCCCGGGTATCGTGACATCCTGGACGGCCGACGTCACCGTCGATGACCGATCGTCGCCGGCGTGCCGGGGGCTCCTTCCTGCATGCGAGGGTCTGCGCGAGCGCTTCCTCCGGACATCTCCCAGCTCTGATTCGTTCGTTACAAAACACAAAGACACGAGTATGTCCGTTACTTACGAATGTACGTGTACGGTACGTGTACGTGTACGTGTACGTGTGTGTGTGTGCGCGCGCGCGCGCGCGCGCGCGCGCGTGTGTGTGTGTGTGTACGTGAGAAGAAAAACAGACCCATTTATACATTCCCGCTTTAATATCCATCATACAATTCTAAGCAAACTCGTCAAGCGCGATAAAACGACATCGATTATCATTGCACTGAGCGGCAAAGACGTTCATTCGTTTCAATTATAAATTTATAGCAAAAAAGTTATTTGCAAAAGCAAATCCGTACGTCTTAAAAAAAGCTTACACTGAAATTTGAAAATCAATAAAGTTTGAAGAGAAAACATTAAAAATAAAAATTGTTTAATAAAAATTTTCGTACAACGAATGATAATTGATCGTATATTGACCGCTGATATTGATCGTGCAATGATTCCGATAATCGATTGACTGACTTTGTCGGTTAATCGGTAGATAGCGAATACGCGAATTGTAAGGTAGATCGTAGCTACGGCAAGTAGTGTTAGTGAAATTCTTTGGCATGCCATGCTGACCCATATTGTCTATGGTAATCTGATTATGATCGATGTTAAGTCGCATAGGATATTGATACTCGATCACTTAGACAAGTAGGTTTTAAGATTGTTAATCGTTCCCATTCACCAGTCAGCTTAGACCCAACAACAGCAGATAGAAGGAGCCCCCGCGGAGAAACGCTCGCAGATATCCAGATTTTTAATTTCCTCTTGTTTCATTTACTTTTCACAGTTACTTCGCATTTCGTTGAATTTATCTACGATTTCCTCGACGATTATGTAAACAAAAACAAAGGAAAAGCAATTTCGATTCTACAACGTTCGCAACTCACGAGAAATATAATTCAGACGTCACGCATTAATTGCATTTATTCGTACAATTGGATAAATATTTTCGTTAGACTGCGACATTTTTACATATCATTGATTGAAGTACAAACATGCTGGTAATTTTATTTACAACAAAAAGAAAGGGATGGACGTAAAATTGCTTGACACATTTCAATTATAACGTAACGAATACCAGTCACAAAATACAGAATTCTCGACGTGCGTTTTCATGGAGGGGAAAAAAAAATGCTTTTGTTTCCGCGAGCAGGTATGCACATTGGATTCTTCACCATGTTAGCAATTAAGTACCATCATGTTAGAATTTGGATTATTTTTAGCTTAAGTCAATTCTATCTACTTCTAAACTAAGGAAAAAAAAAAAAAAAAAAAAAAAAAAAAAAAAGAAAAAGAGATACATCACTGGCATGGCGCTTGCGAGGGACTCGCGGCGATCAAAATCATGTTGAAATGAAAATTCATAAGATATTTCTTTCACGCGCAATTCACAGCGCAATTTGTCCGCGAGACTCATAATCCTTCTGACAATTCGAACATGCCTCATTCCGAGGGAGAGCTCACATGCCCGACACACGTCCCCCAAAAAGAAAACTAATTGTCCGCCCGTGTTTCAACATTTCGACCGGGTCCCTCGTTACGCGGGGCGACGAAGCTACCATTTAAATGATGAATTCAGGCGAGCTAGCCCTACCTTCGTCATCGCTGGAATAGCTGTTGTAACGTGGCACGTTGACGGCAGTCCGACGGCCGTCCGAGCTCTTGCTCCTGACATGCGAACGATGCCCGTCCTCCCGTCTACGAGAGTGACGACCCTCCGCCACGGCGGCCTCGTGCGCTGCCAAATCCAGCAGCGCCTGTTGCTTGTAGTAACTCGAAAGATCATTTTGCGCCCTGCCTCGATTGGCCGAGCCGGACGGCTTTCGTGTCAACGGTGATTGCAGCATACGCTGCTTCCATTCCAACAGCCGCTTCATCGACTCTTCGCGCTGAAAGACGTATCGTAATGTATATCCCTTTATCAGCTATGCGACAAAACGTATTTTTTTGTGAGATATGATACAAGATACGACGTAATCGGAAAAAAAGGACTTTGATTTTAAGAACAAACAATTGTAAAATTCTCGAGTAACATTATTGAGAAATTATAAAAACATATATATATATATATAAATCATTAGCGCGATATGAGTAACGTAATAGCAATGACGACGGTCGAGTGAACGATGGTGAAAGCAAAAACACGGGAGAGAATGACGTAAGATATGTGTAGCTATGCAATAGGGTCTATCGTGAATCATGCGTGTCCACCGATGTTACCGACACGGTCGTCTTGCTGATACGAAGCAATGCTCATGACCTACAACTACCTGAGTCAAAGTAACGATTCTATGAGTCATTCTAGGTTTTCCGGAATACAAACGAAAAACAAGTTACATAGAACTCTTAAAAATATTTTCGTATATCGCTGGATTTATATTAATATTTATTAATTTATTATAAATAAAATAAAAATCTTGTATATTTACTTGTATATTATATATTAAACATTAAAATTTGGCAAACATCTAAAAATTTCGTAGATTGGTCTACTATACTATTTTTTTCTTAATATCTTTGTTAAAAAATTATGCATAATTCTCTAAAGAATTTGGAAATTAATTTAATTTTTAAATTTACATTAATTCTTTCTCTTGTAAAAAAAAATAGTAATGTTAAGATTAAAACTTTCCTATTATTAATTATCAATTTGTTTTTTTTCTTTCTTGCAATTGATTTCAAGAGTTACTGTCATTAATTAAGAAAAATGTTAATTACAACAATTTTTAAATACAAATATTAAACAAATATTAAACTTTTCTCAATCGACGTATTTTATTTATGTATTTTTCTTTACCTTTTAAAAAATAAAATAAGTACACACAAGTTACTTTCCAGAGAAATCTTATAAATGAAAACTACAAACTAAAAATTCATAATCACATGAAATATCTAAAATATATTTACTAATAATTGTGTGACGAAAATTACAAATTTCTCGAAAGAAAAAAAAAGAAACAAAATTACGTATCTAAGTAGAAAACGCTAGGTTTCCTTACCTGTTGAATCTTGCGTTCACCATCCCGTGAATCGTGCTCGGAGGACCTCTCGGCGTAGTCGTCGTCGTCGGGATCAAGGGCAGCGGGATGTCGTGTTCTTGGCAGACGCGCTGAGGCCGATCTGCAGAACTGCTGCTGCTCACTCCATCGCCTGCTGGCACCTGCGTGACCGGCGTGACACGTCTGAGTGATGTGAGTCCCGTGAACACTGTGACCCGCCGCTCTTCCCCACCCGTCATACTCGCCGCGCGGTATTCTACGAGGGATGGTATTATCCTCGTGTGTCAGCGTCTCGCGGCTGTTCGCTTCGCAGCTCTTCTCGCGCAGGGATCTTCGAAGTTTCGGATCGACGCCCATTATCCTAATAGAAACAAGGCGTTTAGGCAAGCCCTTCTTTCGTGGCTCGATTTATCGTATCGAGCTACTACGTTCATAGTTTGATCACGTATTAACTATATTTAACTATATTTTCGTAAATCCTGATCAACTAAATAAAATTAAAAAAAAAATAAATAAATTTCTAACGCATTTGAAATTTTATTATTCTGATATTTTAATAATCCATTGCGGCTTAAAGTAGTTTTTTGAGAAACTATTTTAAATCATCTAAAAATTCATCGACTTAAACATTTGTTAAATAAATATATGATATTAAAATACGCAGCATGCACTTTTATATATATAATAATATATATATATATATTTTTTTTTTTTTCAAACATTTGTAGGTTTTTTTTAAATAGGTTCTTTATGGGACTTAATCACTTATTCGGATAATGTACGATGACTCACTCGGAATGTCTCTGCGTCAGCGACTGAGCGGGCATCGTGTGTTGCTGATGAACGTGATCTCGCTGTACGCGTCTCAGCGCGGGACAAGTGGAATCCGGCAATGTGGACATTCTACTCTCTTCGGTCTTATCGCGGATACTTGGCAGTTTCGGCTGCATCGTGACACGCGAGAGGGACTGATTCCTCTGCTGCTGATATGAATGTTGAGGTGTCTGATGCAGATACACCGCGGACTGCCGCATCTGCGCCGCGTATCTAAGCACAAAGCACGCGAGCAAAATGAGCGTCTTCTCCAGAGATTTCGATTTTCTCTTTGTCTCTTCCTCGACGTTTGCCTATGGAAAGCCTAAGGAATTTACTCACGCGTACCTTTCTTCGGAATAAAAGTAACCGTCATTGGTCGTGTCTGACGGATTCACTATGTCTAAGCTGGATTTAGGCCTCTGCGGGCGTCTCTGCTGATCCGGGAGTCTCTCGCATTGCGCGGGTTGTTGCTGGGGTCGCCTTGCCGCCTCGTATTCGAGAAAGTCTGCGCTGTGCGGTCGCGGCGGCGGTTGAGTCCTGGATTGCCTTACCATCGACACTAAAGAAAACAAATCACAACGCCCTTTTTGTATTTGTACCGCGTCGGGCTCTTGGCCAGATTATGTTTCTCGGTCTTTGTAACACCAGGAAAAAGAAAATGAATTTCACCGCAAGACCGAAAGGTGCGCAAAAGGAGAATCCGACTCATCGTTGTTATTATTATTATTATTATTATTATTATTATTATTATTATTATTATTATAACGCGATAATATAAAATCAATATTTATCTCTATAATCAATTTTAATTAACTAAGAAATGGAATTTTAAATGGATCGAACGAGTTTGTCGAATTAATATTCAGTTGCAACAATTAAAAAGGTACGAGATCCACTCTTTATAATTTTGTGTGACAGACTTTAGAGGAATTTAGAGTAATTATTCTTTCGTTATTTCAAAGTTTTTAATATTACAAAACGTCAAAGTGACCAATGATGATACGGTAGAGTTATCAAAGCAGTTTCTGTTTCTTTTAGTAGGACTTGAGATATTCTCGACAGGGACAATACATTTGTCCACATTATGTTATTGTCCATTGTAGAATTCTTCGAATACATATTTACAATAGAAAAGTCCGCTCTTAAAAAGATATCGATTCAGACATATCAGCGTGAGAGGTATTTTCATTTTACTCTCCGATGAGATTCACCGGTCGTGAAGTGAAGTGCCGGTACTAATTACGAGCGTCTTTGTAAGACGAACAGAAAATAAGGTAAAAGTGTATAAAGACTCACCGTTCGACGGCGCGATGGGAGAGTGCAGCTGCTGCAGATGCTGTTGTTGCGCGTACATGGGGATGGGGATGGGCGCCGGCGACGCGCCCTTGGTATACCCGACCGGTCCCGCGGGTCTCTGGTAAAGTTGAGGAGTACCGTAGACCTCCTCGTAGTCGCCATTACCTCTGCTGCTGGTTCTCGGTTTCGCACTACGACCGTACGTGTCCGGAGTCCTCCTCTCCGTCGGTTGGCCGGTCTGGCCGTAGCCATAATTCAGGCCCGATTTGTCGATTCGTAGACTCTGCTGCGACGGCTGACTCATCCGAGTGCCATAGATCGTGTTGTTCCTCTCGTAATCGGACATCGGACTCTTGCTCGTCACCGTGACGTCCGGCGAGACTGGACTCTTCCGGTAGTCCATATCCGGCGATGGCGTCGAGTACTCGTTAGAGCCGTCCGTCAATCTTCTAGGCTTTGGCGGTGCATTCGCGTAAATGGGCTGTCCGAATTTTCGAGGCATAGGCTGCATCGTTTGAACACCGCCTGAACCGGAATGCGACAGCTGCTGGGGCGGTTGTTGCTGCTGCTGCTGCTGTTGCTGTTGCTGCTGCTGCTGCTGCTGCTGCGGCGACTGTTGAATCACGTGCTTGTGCGGATGCGACGACTGATGGGTCGGAAGCGCGTTCTGATGCGGCAAATGCTGATGAAGCAGCGCCTGATGCTGGTGCGAATGACCCGGTTGCAGTTGCTGCGACGGCAGCAAGTGCCCGTATTGCTGCTGCTGTTGCTGCTGCAGCTGAAAAGTGCCAGGCTGGCCGTACTGCGACTGCGGCGGTTGCACCCAACCGTTCATCATCGGATGACCCGAGTCGCTCGCGTGATTGTTGTTGGCGGAATTGCCGTTGCTGTTGCTGCCGCTGAGGTTCGGAAAGGAGGCAGTGTTCGCGCTGTTCGGGCTGGAGTTGTTGTTCGAGGCATGGCTGGGGTCGTCGCGCGACTGAAAGCCGTGGAAACCAGAGTCGCTGTCGTCGGCGCTCTGATTCAGGATCGACGAGATCGATGAGACGCTAGGCCGAGCGCTTCGTTCGCCGTCCTGTGCTATTTCTATGACTACTGCAGCTTCGCCCGCACTATTGGCGAAAATTGAGAGATATGATATTATTTTGCAATCCGCAGATTCAACATATAAATCTTTCACCGTCGAATTTGTAATGCGTTGAAAGATGAGATTCATTTTGTCGGCAATTAAATACATTTATATTGCAATATTATAATAAATATCGCATATATCCAACTTAAAAATTAATATTAATTTGGATTGTTAATAAGGGCTATTAGGTGATAAAAGTGGCGTATATAAATGCGAAATTAATTTTAATATAATGTCTTTTGCTTTTCATACTTTGAAGATTCCTCAGCCTTTTAAACATAAAAAAAAAAATTAACTCTCCGTATTTTGTATATCGACGCATGCATGTTTAAAAATTCTACATTTTAGCCATTTTTCCGTTCTGCAAATAGAACTTTAACTGGAAAATGGACCAGACAAGGACAAAGCTCGCGAGACAAGCGTTCGTTGTCCGTCGCTGCGTCGGCTATGTCGCTGACGACATGCTAATGGACAACGGACTAGTCCAAGCTTCATCCACCGGCGGTATCTCGCGGGTCGAATAACTCTCGAGAAACTAACTAACGAGTTGGTTAGTTACACCGCGATAACGCGCGAACGACAGATGCGCGGCAATGACTGTCGCGATACTTTTGCATGCAAATAAACGCCGGTGGCGGTGTCGTTCCAGTTTCCTTCGTGGCGCATCAAAGAGATGTTCATCGTCACTCTGTCGCGGTGTCGGGCTAATTTCGAGATCTTCACTCGGATCTCAGGACGGAGCTTAACGCCAAGACGTCGTCTTAAGAGATGACATCTACCGAATCACCGAGTCAGAATTAAAACAACGGCGAAGCATTTCGCTCACCGTGAGAATAAAAGCGGATTCTTTTTACTTTCGCGATGGTTCGCGAAAGATTGTCAGTATGGAAGAGAGTTCAAATACGAGACAACAAATACGAAGTTTTCATAGTAGTTAAATATTAAAATTCTTGAATTATGAAAAATCGCTATATATAGAAAGGATCAGATATGAAGAATAAAAGATAAAATTGAGCGAAATTTTTGTTTCATGCAAACAAAAAAAATACTGATAAGCAACAAAAAAAATACTGATATGTAAAACGAAGCTGTACGAATACAGAAAAGAATATGGAAGAAAATAATGGACAAGGAGGTATATAAAACGGAGAATTATTACCATAAAAGAGATGCATTATATGAAAAATTAAAGCGTTCACGTACGATGTGATGGCGCGAGAACGATTATATTGTAATAATAAAAAAACAAGAAAAAAAAACAATTCTTTATAAACAATCATATCATCGCGTATCGCGTTTCAATTCCATTTATTTATTTTCAAGCTGCATAATGGAGCAAGAGCGATGAAAGGTACAAACGTTCTTTGTTCTACAAATTTATAATTATTGAACGAGAAAAATATAGCCGAGTCGAGTTTGTCGACTCAGATTAGCATTTCCGAATTAAGACTAAATAACGAAATTTATTTAATTTCTCATGATCAATAACGAGTAACAGTAAGTAATTCTGTCGCGAACTACTATATCTGTTGCAGCTCTTGGATAATTGTCGTTACATTTCCCGTGAGCTTTTAAACAACTTAAAAATGCATGTGGCGGACTTACGGGCTAGGATCTTGCAGAAGCGTCGCCAGAGTCAGAGCGTTCACCCACTGGTTCATACCCTCCCGACTGTCAGCCGCGAAATGGTAAGTCCTCATGTTCGCGTGTTCGGCCTTGAAGGCGAACTTCTTGTTGACTTTGTCTTCGGGTTTGCAGACGGTAACTCTGTACGAAGGTAGTAATATCGAACCTAGTAGTTTCTCCTCTTCCGGACCTGAAAATCAGTAAGTAGTTACTATGTATGCGCCGAGCTTGCAACGCGACGAGACTGGTTCTTACTCGTAAAATCAGACGTTAATATGGAACTTCACGCCGAAAATCTCGTAAATCCGCCACGCGTAAATGTCGCGATATTTCGATGTGTTTTAATCGGATCGCAAAAAGTACAAATAGATGACTATGATATATCTCCATATGTCTCGCGTAATGATAATAAAATCGCGGTTGTGCGAACATCACGTTCGGATACTCGGTCAAACGTAAAAATATTTGTGACATTTTGTTTTCAATTTTTCTAGTTCAAATATACCATTTGATGATACAACTGCAATATTCTCTCTCTCTCTCTCTCTCTCCCCTCTCTCTCGCTATTTTTTAGCTCAAAATTTCTATCTACAATCTATTCCTAGCGCTGCGATTGATTTATGATGACACATGCAGACGCGCACTTCTATATGATTTTAAACATTTGCAAAAATAAACAATTAGGTACGTGGTTCACGATTACAACGACATTTATTTCAGAAAACAGAAATTCATGGCCTTTTTATCAAACGAACTGCGGATTTTTTAATGGATACTGATATGTACGTAGCACACTACAACTATGGAAGCTCCGTTGGTTAATCGAATTCTCACACGTTGCGTTTCAGAGCTGGAATTTCAGTCTAAATTAATTTTAAGCTGCAAACAATTCGCTAACGATAAACGCTAGAATAATGTACAAATGATAAATAAATATGCTTTTCCCAATTGCAGACTGGAATCTCAATTAACTAATCCATATACATATATTCATCTTTTATATTTTAATAGTTAGAAACACAACATATAATTGTCAATGTAAATTCTGTTATTCTGCGATTTAAGATCTTTCATCTTTAGATAAATGTATATATTAAGATAACATTTTTCTCATTTCTTTCAAATATTTTTAATAATTCGAATTTTAATTAAAAAAAAATGACAGCAACAATCTTCTCATCAAAAACAAGAACGTCCTTTCAAACGTTATGAAATTCCTCGCACAAGGGATTTTCATCTAGAGCAATAAGCTGTCTTTTACGAATTTTAGCGAAAAGCAAAGAAGTTCATAGCTGAAATTTTTTGTGCTTACTATGTTAGGTTAGAAGAACATTTCAGAATTCTTTGATCAGAACTAACAATAACGTAAAAAATGTAATACAAAATAGAATAACGTAAATACCAGATAGAAAGAGAGGGGGGATGAGAGAAAAAGAGAGATTATGAATAAAGTAAAAAAATATTTCTTGCCTATGATTTGCGCATTTTTATCTAAAGTGAAAAACACAAAGAATGTTTTATGTAAGCACATGATGTGGATGTTTCTTACTTCCTCTACGAATATATCGTCCATTATTTTCCACACTGAAATGCTCATTAAAACTACAATAATAAAACTACAAAGATAAAAAAAGCGCTTTCTAATTTCTTTTAATTCCAACCTTTCTGCCTGCATTAACTTTTAAAAATTTATAACGGAACATATATATGTTAAAAATTAAAATATCATATTTTTAATACATATTAAATTTTTAAAATTAACAATGGTTTATTTTACATAAAAGAAATCTATTTATAAAATTGAAAAATATTGTGATAAATATAATAATAAACTGTAAAAAGGTATCGTAGTAAAATCAAAAAGAAATATTTTTATCCAATAATAACTTTTTTCCTTTATACCAAAAGATGTATAATCAATTATCGATATATTAAATAAACTTATTTGCAAACATCCGGGACGAAGAGCGGAAGAAGAATTTATAAAGTATTAGTCTTCCTTTTGCGAGCCGGAATACTCTCGAAGAGGCTCGGTAGGTCGCTAGTTAGAGGACGGTATGCATCGAATCTAATTTAACTAAAGTTCATAAACGACACGTCGAACCGCTGCAAACTTCTAGCGAGAACTTTCTTCTTGTCGGATGACGTAGAGGACAAATTGGGATGGCGGATGACGCGCGCGAGCGCGCGCGAAGGGTGTATCTTTGGCAAGAAACATCTCGCACGTCTCTGCTGCAACGACCGGAATGCTCGCGCACGTACCGAATCAAAGAACACGAGTGTAATTAGCGTTCCTATAACCGGGTCGGATTAGAGACGAGCAGTGGCGCCCAAGACGACCGGAAATTGGTCGTCTGCACGACCCCAACCAGCAAGACGTAAAACGGGGTAGGACTTGGCAGGCCGCCAGAATATCCTCGCGAAGCGGGGAGGTGAATGCACAAAAATAAAAGCTCGTAAACAGAGCAAGGTACAAATCGATCCGAACGAAAAATCTGGAGACATTAATGATTGCTTTTTGCCGTCCGAAATGAGTAGTCCCATTGCCAAAAAAAAAATCACAATTTATTTTAAAATGAAATTCCTCATTATTTAACTGTGTAACCGCAAGAGATGAGTTTTGGTTAGTTAGAATGTGTTATTAAAACCTCGTTTGTTCAATTTACGTAATTTAATCGACGGGTGAGATTATTTATACTGATAACTAACTTTATAATTTCTATTAGATTGATAATTGATAAGAGCTTCTAGGATAATTATTAATGATTATTCCAGTTCATAATTGTCGATTGATAATTACGCAGTAAATAAACCGTTTACATCGGTCGGATTTGAATGTTAAACTGAATTCGAAACAAGTTACATCGTTTCAACTAATAAAGCTTATTAAAACCGGTAGCGTAAATATAAAAATAGCAGAAAACAAATTAATATCAAAAAGAAGACATTAATAATACAAAGTGTAAACTCACCTTTGTAATAAAAGAGACAATACTCGGAGAGGACGAACCAACGTTTTTTCCACAGCATGAGACCCTCCGAGCCCTGTTTATGCAACCATCCCTGCAGTGCAACGGGGGCGGAGAGGGGCCTTTTCGCGGCGGGGGAACGCAGACCCCCCTGAGGACCACTCCGTCTACGTACCCCCGATACGGAAGCCGCCACCCCCGAGCCATCGTGCTTGCTACGTACCTGAACAGGTACGGCGGGCGGCGTGCTCGATTGGACAATCTGTAAAGTAAAACGCACCCTTTCGAGACACTCATTTACAAATCTTACGGCCGCCGTTACATCAACATCGGTTAAATTTAATTGCCCTGTTCCACATTTCGAAGTAGAGGACTAATGAAAGATTTATTGTAAGTAAGATTGAGATTAATTATTGTAAATAAGATTGAGATTAATCGCGTCCCGTTATTCTCTATTAATTCGTCTTTATTAATTAATTTCAAAGGATTGACTGTTAGAATTCTCTATATATTTAATTGCAACGTTTAATGTATAAATTTTAAAGCTGTGAAAGTGATCTATCTAATTATATTTTTATCAGGGAGAAATTTATTCAGAATTCACGATTCGACGATATGCATTGTTAATATATATTTATATTATAATATTATAATTCAAAAGAAGGAAAGATATAATTTACAATAGCTAATGCCGCGTATAAGAATATGATAGAATATGATAGAAAATTTTGTGCGACTTTCATATACATATATTAACGACGCAAAACGATGCATCCTCTCTGAGATTTATATTTATAGCGGGGCAAGCGCGCGAGGCAAACGTGTCACGTCACGATGTTGAAATGAGGTGTCCAATCATTTCAAATATTTTCCAAGTTTCAAATGATTTACAATAGAGATAAAGATAGAAAGCAATAAATCTTCGATGAAATTTGGAATCTTTCCCTCGCTACGACCGTCACGCGGCTGTGATCTCTCGACACCTTTTATTCGGTGCCTTCCCGAATGCCGACTGATCGAAATCCGTTTTTCCGCCTGCCGACGCGCCATCGCGCCATCGCACAAAATTGCCATTGGCTGACAAAAATTTCACCATGCCACCCGGAACGATTACCCGATAATGAAAAAGCCATGGGAACGAAAAAGGAAGAAAAGACGGGGGTGATAGCCCGATCGCCAGTCGAACGTGAAATTCGTTCGATTCGTCGATTTTCCTCTTCTCGCGACGCTTGTCAAGGAGGAGAAGAAAGAACGTGGTCTGGCGAGCAAAACAATCGGTAAATATCTAATTACTCGATGAATTCGCGTTGTGGGCGGCGGGATACATTTTCAATGACAAGCACGTGCCTTTGTAAAGTCCAGTCGGATTTAATCCTCGAAATAGACCCGATGTATTGTGCAGCCCGCTATCGATTTCCCTCTACTTTCCCGTCCGATTTAAAAATACATGCGCAAAAGAGCGGCAGCGTATCGGTCTCGGTACAAAAGATTGGAGAGGGTCGTGGGAACACTCGGAACTCCATCCCTGACGTGGAAATGAATAATTTACCGTTCGCTGTATATCTTGTCTCGGCTCCAGGCCGGTTTTCCCATTTCCTCCAGAATTTTACGAGACATCTCGGCCCCGAATGCAGCCGGCGACGAAAAATAGTTTACATATTTGCGACGCTCGTAAGGTCTCCTTCGTGAAATATTGCGCGCAGCAGCGAGATACGGTTCCATCGAACGAGAGATATTGATGTTAACATCGTTTATGAAGTAGTTTACAATTCACCAATATGCTACTTTTTAATATTTCTCCGTCACGTGTTTCTTTCCGCGCTATCCAAATTTACTGACAAATCGCAAGTTGATAAATTTCGACGAAACGCGCACGACGGAAAATCTCAATCGCGCAACGTCTTCTTCATTTTTTTCACAACGTGACGATTTCAAACGCGATACTTGCCAACTCTCACTTCTTAGAAAGGTTCCCGTCAACGCGAAACTCGCGGATATATTTTATCTGAGGGCATAAGAGAAGAGGTTTCCGGAACATGCCCCGGTGCCTCGACTACGGACGACCGTAGTTTCTCGGCGCTCTTAGAAACGCCGATAACACGAGCTGTGATTTTTCAGAAATACAAAGTGCCGCGAACGGCCTTTGGAGAGACTCGCAAGTGTCTACAGCGTATGTAGAATAACGCTGCACAGGGAGCGTCCCTAAATCGCGCACCGGTAAAAGCTGCACCGTGCGGGTATTTGCGCTCTCATCGGAGGATGCATCGAATAACGGAACGCATTCGTCGTTCAGGTGGAACTCTCGCGGCCGATCTCTCCCCGAGTTCGCGGGAGTTGCCGCAAAAGAACATTTAGCGCACGCTCGTCGACCCGTCGCGTCGTCCGTCTCATCTCTGAAATTTCCTCCGCACGAGTTCTCGTCGCGCCGCAAAAAAGCCGGACACGGAAGAGGAGTCGCCCGGGTAATCCGTTAAATTACAGGAGCTGCTCGCGCGTGGTTCCTCGACGACGGAAGCGAGTGCTGGGGCAGCTCGCCTCACCCCCCCCACCCCCCCGTCAAAAAAGACAAGATTCCCGGATTCGCCGATCCCGAGGAAAACTTGGTTCTTTCCGAGGTACGGGAAAAGCGGCCGAACTTTCGCGGCAAACTTTCGCTCTCCCTTCCTGCTCTTTCTCTCTCTCTCTCTCTCTTTCTATCTTCTCTTCCCACGATGGCGTCGAATTAAATCACGGCTGATTCGTATCGCTTGCCATTATTCCGAAACGAGGTAATCGCCGAATCACACGACGCTAATTCGAGCGACGCCTCTAATTGGGAGAGCAGCACGGAGAACCCTCTGTCATTCTCGCTCGCACAAAGGCCGGCATGCAACTCATTAAACATTGCGGTTACGAACAGTAGGTAATAATCGATCGCGGGGACAATCGTTATTCATGGCGACCGGTACTACAATTTTGGTACCGTTAATCTCGCCTCTCTTCATGATAATAAATTCGATCGTGACATTCTGTTGTTCGAGAAAAAATAATTTCTAATAATTATAAATACAAATAATTTCTCAATAAACAATTCCATGTAATATATCTGTGAAAATGTTCACACATCGGTTGCCAGTAAATATCCTTTTTACCTTTTTGTTGTCCATCCCGGGCGCAGAGCTGGTCACCGGCTGGTCGAGCCTGTAACAGAAAAGAAAAGATGCCTTTGAAACATTTGTGATGGAGAATACAATACCTTTATCATTTATCATATTTATAATTTACTCTGAGAAAAATCCACATTTCACATCATTCGCCAGGCCCGATTCGACGTGAATATTTTACTTGTCATCTTTTCATCATATGCTCTTTCATAATGTATTTCGCTAGGTTTTCTCCTAAACGTATGCTACTTTAAAAATAATCGTCTCAGCGCCTGTCGGAGAATATCGAGCGATCCTCACTTTCCGCTTCCGCGACTCGCGGACGAATCTCGACCTCGATTCTCAGACAATACGGAGCTACGGCGTTTTTCGGCACGGGAGCATTGAAAATTTATGCATGGCATTTGGCCATGCAGACGAAAAGATCGGTCGATATCATGACGTCAAAAAAGACGACAAAAAAGAGAAAAAAAAACAGCTCCGAAATGAAGGTTTCATTCGACGAGCTTCCGCACTGGGAAAGCCGACATTTCACCCAGCAGTAACCGCATATTGGAATAATATAATGCTACGCGAAACATGCATTGTTCCTTTAGAAAACTGGCAGACATTTACGAATCATCCCAGTTAAATTAAACGATAAAATAATAATGTTAAACCGACGACAAAATTATTTCGAGTGTGTCGAGTGAAATTTAATCAATAAAACATTTCAATAACTTTATTATTCTCAGCTTTCATTTTTATTTCCTCATCTTCTTTATCACAATATCGCTTTTATGAGAGAATCGTATTTTCACGCGTATTCTTACATCATGTTTCTTTCTTTTTCTTTCTTTTTTTTTTTTAAATTAATGCGATTGCTCGCTGTATGAAGATTGTCTCGTTATCGTTTCTGCATACGAGAAGTTCCGTTGTGACATTCGTTGAACAACGGCTTCAGTGGCATTTGCCGCTACAGGGAAGGAAGGGTCGACACTGTGCTCACGCGTGCAGTCGCAAAGGCAAAGATGATATACGCGAGGCGCATAACGCGCCATCGCTTTTTATTACTCAAGCTGCACAAGTCGGTAGATGTAGTGTGATTGCGCGACGTGATGCGTAGCTGTTCGTTCGGAAAGCCGCCTCGGTTAGCGAGAGAGATCGATTTATCGTCCCGGACGATTTTATTCTTGAGAACAGCGAGCACGTACGTACTCTGTTCCATACGTATAGCTCTTGGTCGTCGTCGTCGTCGTCGTCG